GGGAGGCCGCAGCTCTGGGCTGCCACAGGGGCTCCCGCAGGCCCATGCCGTTCCTGTCTGGGAGCCTGGGCTGTGGGACCTGGGCGCCCCACTGAACCACCTGCCCGCGCTGGACCCTGGGTCCTGCGACCCAGCCAGCGACTCCTCTGAGAGAACACAGGAGGTGCATGGGGCGGAGGAACTCGACGGTCATTGCATCCTGTCCTCGCAGCTATGCCATCGAGCGCAAGATCGAACCTTTCTACAAAGGCGGGAAAGTGCAGGTACCAGCCCTGGAGGGGCATGGCAGGAAGGGTGGGCAGCGGAGCCTATGGGCCGTTACCTTGGCTGAGGCCTCCCTTTTGCCAGCTGGACCAGGCCGGACAGCACCTCTTCTGTGTCTGTGGCACCAGAGTCAACATCCTGGGTGTGGAGTCAGGGGCCCTGCTGCAGAGCCTGGAGCAGGTGAGGCAGGGGGCCGGGGCGGGCGCCAGGGCATGGGCAGGCGGGCGCAAGGGCTCACGGCACCCTGCCTGTCTTGCCTCCAGGAGGACCAGGAGGACATCACCGCTTTTGAACTGAGCCCCGATGACCAGGTACGTGGACAGGGACCACTCAGTGGAACAGCTGGTCCTGCCTCTGCCCTGCCTAGCGACACCCTCCCCCCAGGTGCTGGTGACTGCCAGCCGCGCGCTGCTGCTGGCGCAGTGGGCCTGGCGTGAGGGTGCCGTCACCCGCCTGTGGAAAGCCATACACACAGCCCCAGTGGCCACCATGGCTTTCGACCCCACCTCCACACTGATCGCCACAGGTAGGGCCCGGGGGGCGTGGGGGGGTGGCGGGGAGCACTCTGGTGAGCCTCGAGCTCACGAGGGTGCTCCGCCAGGCGGCTGTGACGGGGCCGTGCGCGTCTGGGACGTTGTGCAGCACCACGGGACACACTACTTCCGGGGCTCCCCCGGAGTTGTGCAGTGAGTGGCGGCAGGTGGGGCAGTGGGCGGGGCCTGGGGGGGCTCAGCTCAACCCCCACCTCCTCCGCTGCGCCCATAGCCTGGTGGCCTTCCACCCGGACACCGCACGCCTGCTGCTCTTCTCCGCCGCTTCGGATGCTGCCATCCGCGTGTGGTCACTGCAGGAGCGCTCCTGCCTGGCCGTGCTGACTGCCCACTACAGTGCTGTCACCTCGCTCACCTTTACTGCGGATGGCCACACCATGCTCAGGTCAGCGGCCAGCTGCCATGCCTTGGGCAGCAAGGGGCGGGCTGTGGCCAGTGACCACCACTGAGGTGTCGTCTGTTTTCCCCCAGCTCAGGCCGGGACAAGATCTGCATCCTCTGGGACCTGCAGAACCGGGAGGCCGTGAAGACAGTGCCTGTGTTTGAGGTGAGTGTCTGGCGGGCGGGCGGGAGGGGCGCAGCCCACTTCCTCTGACCTGCTGCCCTCAGGGTGTGGAGGCTGCGGTGCTGTTGCCCGAGGAGCCGGCTCCAGAGCTCGGTGTCCAGTCCACCGGCCTGCACTTCTTGACAGCGGGCGACCAAGGTGTGAGGCCAGGCCGGGGCGGGCAGCGGGGGCCGGGGGGCGTGGACCCGAGGGTGCCAGCAGCCCTGTCCCTGCACAGGGGCGCTGCGCGTGTGGGAGGCGGCCTCCGGGCGCTGTGTGTACGTGCAGCCGCCGCCGCCGGGCCCTGGCCGGGAGCTCACCCACTGTGCCTTGGCCCGCGCGGCCGGCACCCTCCTCTGCGCCACCGCGGACCACAACCTGCTGCTCTACGAGGCGCGCACCCTGCGGCTGCAGAAGCAGGTGAGCTCGCACCCCCCCACCCCC